TGTTGAATGAATTCTTGGTTCCATATTGTCTGCTAGGTTCAGCATTTATCTGTCTGAACTTACCAGTAGACATCTACTACCAAAAATTTCTCACTAAAAATAATGGAGGATACTGATTAATGTGGCATACAATTTGAATATTGTAAACTATTGCAATTTAGAACCTATATGCTTGTTTCAGCTCATACAACAGAAAAACATTTTCTAGAGACAGACAAAGCTTGTTCTATCTTGCTTAATAGACAAACAAGTGCATCTACTTCTGAAAATACAAATCTAAAAATATGAAAGATTAGAATTTATCTCCTTTGCAGTGTAAATTAAGTCATGCATGTACACTACTCTGGTCCAGCATGCAGTGTTTTACAGTCAGTGCACATCCCTCAGGGCACGTGCATCTGCCTGAACTTACCTGCCGAAAGGAAACTCTCTTCAAAGTCTCTTGGCTTTTATGTAAATACAAACATAATTCAGATGCAAAGTATTTTATAAATACATGCATGTGTAGATGTATATATGTCTGTTTCTATATATGCAAAACGATTACTGTAACTTGCAGCCACCTTTGTTGATCAGACTGAAATCAGTTATAGACAGACTTGCTCCATGCTGTGATGAATTAGTGGGCTTTTTCTTTCTTAGTATTTTGAAGAAAATGGTATGTTTTGACAGATTATAGAGATGTTGAAATGGATTCTTTATTTCTTTTAAATGAAATGGTCCTTTACAGAACCTACCTGTTAAATAAATATTAGCATTGAAGTTAATACACTTTTTCAGTTCTTAAGTTTGATAATGGATGTTTTCTAGCCTTTGCATGAGGAAAACTGTGTTTTCTTTAAAAGCAGGCAGATTGCTTATAGATTTGAAACACCAAAAACATTCTGAATATATGGAAGATATTAATCTGTTTTCTTTTCCCATGGTACCAAAGGTTAATTGGAAGATCCTGTGCAGCCATTACTTCAAGTGCATGCAAGTATAAACTGAAAACAAACCAAAAAAGAAATTCAAAAGTGAATGTGATAGAGTGACAACAAAGGCCAAACTGCCTTTTCAAAAATAAAATAAAATAAAATCTTTCATGTAAAAAGTTTACAATTCAATCTCTTCTTGTTTTATTTTAAAATTTTTGCAGACATGCATGTTTCAATGATGTTTCTGTTCTTATCAGCCACTGCTTCAACTATTTTAGTGTATCCTGAACATATGAACAGCTATGATTGCTAGGATATCTAGTTTGGGCCATGGTATGTCCATTACACATTTTCCTACATAGTAGTTGTATACCAAGTCTAGTAAGTATTTTAGAATGGAAGATCTGATCTCTCTTAGAATGGGAGTCCTCATAGTGGCCTTCCAGTACTTGAAGGGAGCGTATAAACAGGAGGGGGAATGACTGTTTACACTGGGTTGATAGCGATACAAGGGGGATATGGTTTTAAGTTAAGACAGGGAGATTTAGGTTAGATATTAGGAGGAAGTTTTTCACACAGAGGGTGGTGACACAGTGGAACAGGTTACCCAAGGAGGTTGTGGATGCCCCATCCCTGGAGGCACTCAAGGCCAGGCTGGATGTGGCTCTGGGCAGCCTGGTTGGGTGGTTGGTGACCCTGCACATAGCAGGGGGGTTGAAGCTAGATGATCTTTGAAGTCCATCTCAACCCAGGACGTTCTATGATTCCACGATTTTATAATTCTATGATCTGTTAGAGATACCTTCTTTTAGACTGCTTTGAAAGTTTTAGGAGAATTGCTGTCACCATTTTTCTAAGTGCTAGTTGGACAAAATTTGTCAGTACGCTGGAGTTACAGATGAACGCAAATGGTTTGCCTAGACATCTCTCTAGTCCATCTACAGAGGGATGAATGAAGCTTTCCACCAATGACACCCACAGTAAGAAGCACTCCCAAAAGGCCAGGAGCAGATAAGATGAAGAAGACCCAAGGGAATGCCTTCTTTCCCCATATTCGTATTCTGCATGAACATATACCCCACAGATTTTTTTGATTGGGTGAAGAATATCTGAGTAAGGAGAGCTATGGTTCCTTCCACCAGTATCTCACACAGAGAAGATGAGCCCAAGAGGATTGTTTGTGCCAGTTACAGAGCTTGAGTTGCACAGTAACATTGAAAATGGTGATCAAACAGTACTGAAAATGTTTGATGCAAGTGACCAGTGCAGTGTAGATTTTCCCTCTGAATAAAATTATATTTTTAAAAATATTGTTCAAGAAAATGTTATTGTATCTGAAGGGAGTCTGCTGAGGAGGGACACTGTATAAGGGCATGTAGCAACAGGATGAGGGGAACTGATTTTAAATGGGAAGAGGGTAGATTTTGGCTAGATATTAGAAAGAAATTCTTTACTGTGAGGGTGGTGAAACACTGGAACAGGTTGCCAGTGAGGTTGTGAATGCCCCCTCCCTGGTAGCATTCCAGGCTGGATGGGGCTTTGAGCAACCTGGTCTAGAGGGAGGTCCCTGCCTATAGCAGGGGGGTAGAACTGAATGAGCTTATAGGTCCCTTCTACCGCAAACCATTCTATTATTCTATGATTAAAGAGAACATTATCTGAAGGTACAGCGTGCAGATTTACCTAAGAATAGTATTGCCAATACAACTTCAGTGCAGCACTTTCAACCTAGTCATATTTCGTTCTGCATTCCCAGCTCTCCAAGAATTATTTATTTCTCACAATATATTTCCTGATCTGGAAGTCTATCAAAGATGAAGGCAAAGAAGATGAGTACTGAGGAATGATGCTAATCTTTCACTTAATACAGAATAGAAAGTACAGGAATTTACAGGAAACTTAATTCTCATTGGTACAATTTCTCATGATTTCTAAACAGGAATGTATTCACATAGTTCATGAAGAAGAACAAATAACACCTGTGTTGGGTTTTTTTTCATCAGTTCTTCAGACAGAGTATGAGAGCATGAGTGTCTCTTGATGTGAGATAGAGAAATCACATTTTGGCTATCCTGTAAGGTGAAGGCAGTTCCAGTTTCCACTGTGGTCAAAATTTAATTACTTGCTACTAAGAGTCATGTAGCCCAACATCTTGTAAGTGAAGATGTGTTGTAAGAAGAATATTTGAATCGAAATAGCAGCCAGGTACCATTCTCAAAAATACTCAAGAATTTTAAAAAGAGTTTTACTAATATTTGGAAAGTTTTCATGTACTTGAAATCCTGAGCAATGCCAGTTAAAAAAAAAAAAAAAAAAAAAAAGTAAAACATAATGTGAGTGTACTGTGTTTCTCATTGCCTGGTTCAAAACAAGTAACTTAAAATTGCACAAACTAGCTGTCACATTGCTTGTTTGTAATGCACATGTGTAATCCACGAGGGATGTATATAAATACATCACTAGTCTCCTAGCACTTAAGTAAGATACAAAAAAAGGGTGATGCTTTCATAAATGCCTCTGTGAGGAACACAAATTTTGCCCATGAGAAACTAAATTGAGATATATAAATTATTTTTTTCTCAGCAGATGTATCCTGGCTAACCAGAAGTGTGGATGTATTCTGCATCATCATTCTTGTCACAGTACTTTGTGACTTCTTAAATATTCATCTCTTTTTATGCTCATACTTAGAGTAGAAACAAAAAGGTTTCTACCCAAACTGGGTAGAAACCCTCCTGGGCAGTCACATGGTTTTAAGAGCATGGGCCACTGTAAATTAAACTGTTGGAGCAAACAAATCATATGTTTCTGGACATAATTTGATCCCCTGAAAGGACAAGTAAAACCACACCAACACTCAGGTACCTCCCATGTCACTCGGGCTGGGGCCACTTGATGGGTGCTGCCTTTTCCTCTGAACAGTGCTTCCTGCCCACAGCCACATCACGATACAGATTGGGGCAGTCCTGGGCTGTTTCTGAAAAGGAACTGAGCTAAACTAAAGCATATTTCTCTGGAGTCCAAGGAGATGACCAGGCGAGAGCAGATATGCACGCCGCAGCCCATCCTCAACCAGTCTGTTCCTGAAGGAGGGCACACCATGGAAAGGATCCATGCTGGAGCACTTCTTAAAGAACTGCCCAATGAAGGGAAGACCACACAGTGGAACAATGTGAGGAGGAAGGAGCATCAGAGAGGAGCAATTAGGTACCAACCATAACCCCAGGAACGAGGTCAGCTGCTTTATGGTCGAAAAAAACAAAATTCCTGCAATGGCACAAGCCTTAGCCACGTATTTATTTTTCTAATATGTACGGCAGGGAGTTGCTCCACTGGTCTATCTCCTGCTTATACTCCTTGATGTTCCTTAATCTCTCCACCTCCTCTTTGAGCTCTGCCACCATACTGAGCAGATCATTCCCCTGCTCATACCTCACACAGGTGGCATCACTGCCACCCTCCACAATCAGCAGCAGACTCAGGCATTCCCTGCATCCAGAGCAGCTGCATTTCTGAGCAGGCACTCTGTCCATGTAGCTACATTCATTTTAGCAAGAGCTTTCTGCCTAGTGGTAACCATGACCAGATTTGTTGTATGAGAGGCAGCCAATAGGTGAGCCAGTCCCCCAGCTGGGGTGGGATTCTCTTCCATCCTTGTCTGCTTGAACTAATGCCGTGTGGAAGGAAACGTCATTTGGCAGCTCACAGCTGATAGGAGTTTGGTTGCCCTGCTGAGGTGATTCCTTGCTTCAGTGCAGAACACAACTGCACCAGAGCTGTCCACCTGCTGAGAAAGTGATGTGTTGCAACATCACTGATATTTATCATGACAGTTCTTTTTGTTATATTCTTTGTATGCTAAAAAATACCTTAACACCTTCTGAAAAACATAATGATATCACATTTTCTCTTTTCAAAACATGCATTTAATGCAATCCCTTTGTATATATAGACATTTTGAGAAGCATACAAATATCCATAAATATAATTCATTTATTTATGTAGATCATTAATGAAATCAGGACAATAAAGGCCCATATGTCCCCCCCCCCCAAAAAAAAAAACAACAGTACAGATCAGAAGATACAGGCAACAAATTTATGAAACATAAAATTGTAATGTGACCAAGTGATGAAGATCTTCTGTCCAGAGCTATGGGGAGTTTCCAGCTGAGGGCATGGTGAGGTACAGGCTGAGGCTGTTTCCTGCTTCTTAAGTCTGTGTGTTTAGAGATGGCTGCAGAAACCAATGGCAGAGTGTCAAAGCAGGGTGTGGGCAGGAGGGGCCTGTGGTTTTAAAAACAGGATAATATGAACCAACAAAAGGATAAGCAGTCCTCCATTCCCAAGTGCAAATCTTACTGAAGTTCAAGCCTATCAATTCCATATCTCAAGGCAGCCAGAGGACACTTCTCCTATGCTACCCAAGTTACTAAGCCACAATCAATAAGTTGCCCAATAAGACATGAGAAATGCATCACTGGCTGTGGTGCAGATGCTTAAAAGCACGAACAGGCAGCTATGATTTTGATTACGTAGCCTTGTACTGATGTCCTTGTAGAAGGTGAGACATCTCTCCAGATGAGCAATGGAGGACAGGAAGGTTCCAGGATCTGGGCACATTCTCCTCTAGGCCACTGGCACTCAAAGACAAAGAGAGCATCAAAACCAGATGTGTTTACCTGCCCATGGCAAATCCTCACCTTTCCCCTCCTCACAGTCCTTCCTGCCATCACATCGCAGCATTGAAACAACATCACACTCACCTTTGCCTAATCTGGCAGAAGGGTGCAGCTCTTTCTATTACCTCCCTATGGCTGTCAAGTCATCAGTGCCTGTGTGACACAGGGAATTGTCAACATTGTACCTGCTCTGCCATGCCCATGGCATTAACAAGGCAAATGCCAACAGCCGATGCCCACAGGTACAGCCAGCCTGGACTTATTTTGATTACATATCTTTGTACTGATGTCCTTGTAGAAGGTGGGACATCTCTCCAGATGAGCAGCGGAGGACAGGAGTCTTCAAAGGTCTGGGCAGGTTCTCTTCTAGGCCTCTGACACTCAAAGACAAAGAAAGCATCAAAACCAGATGTGTTTCCCTGCCCATGGCAAACCCTCACCTTTCCCTTCCTCACAGTCCTTCCTGCCATCACATTGCAGCGTTGAAACAACATCACATTCACCTTTGCCTAATCTGGCAGAAGGGTGCAGCTCTTTCGATTATCTCCCTTAAGCTTTCAAGTCACCAGTGCCTGTGTGACACAGGGAACTGTCAACATTGCACCTGCTGTGCCATGCTCATGGCTGCACAGAGGCAGTTGCCAGCAGCTGATGCCCACAAGTACAGCCAGCCTGGACTTATTTGATTACATATCTTTGTGCTGATGTCCTTGCAGAAGGTGGGACATCTCTCCATCTGAGCTGCAGAGGACAGGAGGGTTCCAAGATCTGGGTACGTTCTTTTCTAGGCCTCTGGCTCTCAAAGACAAAACAAGAGGAGACACAATCTGTAGCATTACAGCCTCCCCTGGCTCCATGCCCAGCTCCCAGCCCTTCCTTTCCAAAACATCTGTCCCACTCTCTCACTTTTGTCACTGCGCAATATTTTGCTCTTTTCTAGGCGGGGCTGGGAGAGGGGTGCAGCCTTTTCTACTATCTCCCTATGGCAGCCATGTCACCAGTGCTTGTGTGACATAGACAATTTTCTGTGTTCTGCCTGATGTGGCAGGCCCATGTCATCACCCAGGCAGTTGCCAGCAGCTGATGCCCACAAGTACAGCCAGCCTGGACTTATTTTGATTACATATCTCTGTATCGGTGTCCTTGAGGAAGGTGGAACATCTCTCCAGCTGAGCAGCAGAGGACAGGAGGGTTTCATGGTCCGGGCATGTTCTCATCTGTCCCTCTGGCCCTCAAAGACAAAGGAGGACAACACGCAGTCTGTTGTAACACAGCCTGCCCTGCCTCTCAGATCAGGTCGCAGGGCTTCCTTTCTTTGCCATCTCTCCTGCTCTCTCACCTCAACATCAGCTCACTATTCTGCACTCCTCTAGCCTGGAGATTCTTATGATCTCCCAATGCTGGCCATGTCTCCAGTGCCTGTGTGACACAGGGAAATGCCAACATTGTACTTGCTCTGCCATGCCCATGGTATCACCAAGTTTGTGGTCAGCAGCTGATGCCTACAAGTACATTCAGGCTGGTGTTATTTTGATTACTTATCTTTGTATCAGTGTTCTTGTTGAATGTGCAACACCTCTCCATCTGAGCAGCGTAAGACGGGAGCATTCCAAGGTCTGGGCACGTTGTCCTCTTGGCCTCTGGCACTCAAAAAGAAAGGAGGAGGACGCACAGTCTGTTGCATCACAGCCGCCCCTGATTCCCTGCCCAGGACCCAGGCCTTTCCTTCTTTGCCCTCTTTCCTCCCCTCTCTCCTCTGCCTCTGCTCAGTCCTGTGCTCTCCTTTGGCCTGGGCTGGCTGAGCACTGCAGGCCTTGTTGTACGCTCCCTGGGCCAACTACTTCATAGTTCCCTCTGTGACTCTGCCAACTGCTCTGACACAGCAACTGCATCATCAGTGTGGATTCCAGAACGTGACAGACATCCTAGACTTTCAAGGCTTATTTAAACATGTGATAAATAACTGGCATAGCTCAGGTCCCTTGGGAATTTGCTTACATCGAAACCCTGCTGTCACTATATGTAGGCACAGCCTTGTATATATAGGTGTGGTCACCCTGCAGTTCCTGTTTGTACCAGAACTATGCCAATCCATCTTCTCTTGGCCTCCTTGCCTTCATGAAAAAGAGCAGACTGGGGCTAAGTCCATAAACATGCAGATGACTGTGTGAAGTCTCTGAACACTGATGACCCATTCAGCTGTTCAATCTACTTATCTGGTCTGCTTGGGCTGTCTTAAAAGGCTAATCACATGTTATCCTAATATCCCCAAATATATACCTATTACTCTACTATAGTCCAGTTTCTAAAAGGACACATGAACAATCTGTCTGAATGTTAATCAACATGTAGTTAGTCTGTACACTTAAGAAACTGTATCTAGGTTTTCAGTGGTGATTAGCTATGTGTTTAGTAAGAGGTGCAATGATTCTAAATGTGAAATTAAGAAATTCCCAGTTGTAATCAAGTGGAACACACTTCAGACTGGAATCCTCAAGCAGATTGCAGTCAAGCTTTCTTAATTATTCGTTGTTATTATCAATGCAGATGCATCTTTTAATTCCTGCCTGAATGAACATTCTATAATAATGTGCTGAGACAGGGCAAGGCTTGACAATGAGACTATAGTTTATTAAACCAGAACTTTTTACTTATGTGTACTTTTCTGTTGAACTTCACTGTCATCTATTTAAAATCTCTAGTCCTTGAAGGCACCAATGGATAAGATTCATCTATTCTGTAGAAGTCTAATTGAACCCCATACTGATTATTAGATTTTTATTTTTTAATCCAAGCACCTCAGACATTAGTATACTTTTATTCAATCACATGGTAAGTCTGCTTCAGAAGCAATATAGGTAGCATAAACGGTGAAGAAGATACTGTATTATTCAAGACTTAAAATTAAATAGTATTGATAAACTGAAAATTGTGAAACACTATGATGATTACAGAATTTCCAGGAGAAATTTCAAGCCATTATCTGAATGCTAAATACCAATTCTGTTCACTTACCACTAGGTTGAATGTTTTAAATTTTAAGTTAATATTATGGTTCCTTAATTCTGTTCTTTAATATGAATACATTAAAATTGCTTGTAACTTCTTAGTTAGAATGTCAGCTGCTAAGCTGATGAAGTGGCAAAAGACAGCCAAATACCTCTGAAAAATTTTCCTGAAAATTCAGACTCATTCTGTAGTGTTTTAAGTCCCTTTGTTATTGGTGGTTTCATCCACGTACATACTTGTATGTTTGTTCTACTAAAATGGGTTAATTGTATAAAATTAGGACGAATGTTCACATAGTATGGTTTCAGAGGCTTAGGGTTGTGGAGCATCCTTTCTATCCAATACACTCCTCATGACTGATCATGACTCCAATCTTGCAAATCTATTGACTTACACTATGACTCTGCTTGCCTTAGAACTTGGCTTTACCTCCTTTTTTGCATATTAAAGAAAGGGAAATGAGGTCTGCACCCTGAGGTCTCCACCTTAAAATTACATTAGCAGAGTAAGCACTGCCTTCTGGGAAATGTTCTCAAATCCCACACTTTGAATGTAGCTTTACAGTCTCTACAACAGAATACATTAATCTTCACGTGGCGTTCAAAGTCAATTTTGGAGGAGTCCAATATTTTCTGTTACCTCTTGTGGGGTGTTAAGTTCTAGCTAAAATATGTGTCCATCATTAAAACAACTAACAAAGACTTCAAAATGCTTAATTTTATTTGAATTTATTAGCATTATTCTTAAGAAAAGAAAAAGGTGTCTTATTTAATTATAAATTAGCCTGTATTTTACTTTCAAAAATTTTTTTTTTTAAAAAAAGATTTTGTTGGTCATTCTGAGCAAATGACAGTCTTTCTATATTACCAATGCAGATAGAAAGAACACTACCAAAGCCAGCACCTAACTAGGACTGCATCATTTTCTTTCTATTAGCAATCCTAGTCTGTAGCAAAGTATTTAATCTATAGGATCATTCCTAAGGACAAGATAAAAAGAATTGGCATTCACGAAAACTTCCTAAATATACATATATTAGTCTACATGAGTATCCTGGTTTTGGATAAAATAGACTTAGTATTTTTTCTAGTAGTGTATGTGGCATTGTGTAATGACGTTGAAAGCACACTGACTTTTCAGTTGTTGCTGAGCAGCATTGCACAGAGCCAAAGAATTTCCAGTTACAATGCTCTGCCAAGGAGGATTTGGGGGTGCACAAGGAGCTTGAAGGGAACAGAACCATAGCAAGCTAACCTAAACTAGTCAAAGGGCTATTCAATGCCATATTTCCTTCCCATCTGTGGAAGTTGGTTGGTGGCAGTAGGCTGCCACTGATCAAGGACTGACTGGGCATTAGTCAGCAGCTGATGAGCAGTTGCATTGAGCATCACTTGTTTTGTACATTCCTGTATCATTATTATTTTCTTATCATTTTTCTCTCCTATTAAGCCGTTTTTATCTCAAATCACAAGTTTTAACTTTTTTCCAATACCATCCCATTGCAGGGGGATTACTGAGCAAATGGCTGTGCAGTGCTTCACTGCCTGCTGTATTAAACCACAATGCCGGGATAACAACTAAATATAAAACCATGATTTATCTTTGCATTCATTAATTCTTGATTAGTTCCCTGATTATTTATGCTCATATTCATTATTATTCTTTCTTGTGTAATTTGAGAATGAGATAACCATACTCTAAGAAACATCTATACATTCTATTTGTACCCACATTTGCTTTGTTTAAGTTTGATTTGTCCCTGTGGTTGTCTCAGGTGCAGAGGTCAAAACTTAGTATTGAAATTATTTTAATTTCTATAATACTAGTTCATCACAGAAACTGCTTATTATGTTTTGGTTTTGGTTTTGTTTTCTGCAAAGAATGCAAATATTTGTTCCAAAAAAAGATTTCTGCCAGAACTCCAGCTGAAACAATGTACCTAAAGATGGTGTAGGTGTAAATATGCAGAACAGCAGTCCAAATTCCTCTACATAGTCTTGCAGAAAGAACTAAAAAACTTGAAATTTGTGCAAAATGAACAGTGCTCACTGTTTTGATTTGTAGTCTCTATATATCAATGGGCTAACTGAATTTATTTGAGTGGAATTATACATACCTGAAAATGAAGGCATTTTCAAAATCCTTGTTTGCATAGCAGTGTAATGAGACAAAAAAATATAGGATCCATTTTTAATAAGTGAATAGTCATTAAAAAGAAAGATGAATAATGTGCTTTCCTGTGTTCTTTTCAGAATATGACAATAATAGAATTGGCAAGACCCAAACCATGGAATTTAAGAATAAGAAATTCTGCAGTTCAGAACTAGCATATATGAGCAATGTCTTCTATGTTTCACATCCTTTTTCAGACGAGGTCATTCCTCTCTGCCTGCAATCCTCCATGTACCTTTTCCTGTCCAGCAAAACTTTCTGGTATACCAGGAAAGTAAAGGTCACAGTTTTCAGACTGTAAACCCATGACACGTGGTTGAAGTTGGATGGATTCAGTAAATTAATGCAGTAAATCATTTTGATATGTCAATGACCAAAACGCAAAACAGCAAAAGGAGTTCTTCTGTGGCTGCAAATTGCTTTCTTCAGCCTGGTACTGATATGACAGGGAGCCACTCTACCACTGGATTCTACAAATACGTCAGGAGGCTATATACTGCTTGATGTGTCATGCTGTCCCCTGTACTCCCTGGAAGACCACTATGAGGTATACATGTGCAACCACAAAAGTGACTGAGAAAACTCTACTCCTGTACATTTCATTATAACCAGCAGGTCACTTCAACTGATCCCCCTTCCACAAATCCTTTGTCTAGTACTCTAAATTTGATGGACATCATGGGGCTAAATGATTGAAGACTTTAGAACAAGTCTAAGTTCATTAAAATTCCAGAGTCTTCTACTGCACGGTGAGCATCTCAGTCAGACTTACATGATCAAGAATGCTGTACTTTTTACTGTTCCATAGGTCAAACTTCCCTCCATTCATTGTCAATGAATTGGAGTAATGGCTGTGTTCTATGCATCTATCCAATCTTTTCTTGTCCTGAAGTGTAAATTCATAAGAAGATATATACCAAAATTAGAGAAGACAGTGGAGAAAAATGAGATGTCAGCTTCTCGTATATATTATTTAATAGTAGCCACCAGTTGCTGCCATTAATTTTACAAGTGATTTTTTTTTAGCAACTCTTTGACATAAAGGGGAAAAACTGCATTGTTACCTTAGAAATTTTTCAATTTTTTTTTCTTTTGATAGCTATTTTTTTTTAATACAATATGTCAAATAATGTGGTCTGAATCTTTGGGAAATAGAGATAATTTCAGATTCTGTTATATAATTTTATAAATCCTGTAATACTTTAACATTTGTTCAAACTTCTGAAACTACAGTGCCTCTGTTTCTGCAGGAAGTATTAATTATTGGCTGCTGTTTTTCCCAGAGCCAAATGGTGTGATTTTCCCACTAATCCTAAGGAGAAACTGTCTATGAATTTTCAATCTCATGGAAAATGTAATCTCATGTACAAATATATGTTTTATATATATATATATATATTGTAATTTTCAGACTGCTTGCAGACTGTAGTCCCATTCTGAGAGCATAAGTTGGATAACAATATTACAGAAATATCTGTGTGACCCATATGACTTTCCTGATTGATCCTGATTCTGAATAACCAAATAGAATAACTGGAAGAGAATAAAGATAAAATGATTTATGAAATTTCAAATTATATCCACTATGCATGGTGCATATCCTTGTAGAAGGACACATTTTGTCTTCTTTTATGTCATGGACTTGTGTCTATGACAGAAGACAAGGTGTTATTTGACTTTTTTTTCTAAACATAACTTCTATAAATCTAGAGAATACCATCCCTTTTTATAGGGAAATCATTAAAAAGCCATTAAAAAATGACATGTCTA